CTTTTCTGCTAGCCATTGTATTCTTTTGTGATCTTTTATGCGATATCTAGTTTTAAAAAGTTTGAGTTAATAATTAAATTACGTATTACTTTAACAAATTAATAATTAACTCAGAAACGTCTGTGAAAAGTGGGCGGGATCGGGATTTCCAGGCAAAAAAGGGCGGGATGGCGGGATTAACAGCAAAAAATGGGCGGGAAAGCGGGATCTGAGAACCCTATTGTGGACCCTCTGTCATTGTGTATCGATTACAAACTGTTGTACTTTCTTAAAAAGAAGGAAGGTGCGCGGGATAGATAAAAGTAGCAATTAAAGCTATTCGTTGGCGGATTAAAACTAGCTAAACCTGGTAGCTGACTGTATTCTACGTTCCCGTGAGAGCAGCTAAACTTGTCTTCTTCGTATTAAACAGCGACGGAGTGGGAGTAAAATGGAAATACGCTGGGGAAGTATGACCTTGAGTAGCCTGTCATGTTGTCACGACAATGCTGTTGGGAGTTTGAAAGAACTGGAATTCCGTTTTTTTACACACGGAGTTTTGTTCCTATTTGGTATTTCGATTCACAGCTACAAACTGAAATTTCAAGCAATTAACCTCTAAGCCACATTCATAAACGAGTAATTGTTTAATTTTGAAAGCAAGGAATATGTCTCACGGCGCGACTGGGTATTTTACTACCTCCTTCCTTTTTAACTATCTTTTGTCGTAATCTTCACCGATAGGTTTCTACTTTGAGCTAACCTTCTCAGAGCCCAAAACAAGGTGAAATTATAATTGCGAATTTCAGATACTCAGAAAAAAAAAACACCTGGTCTTTCGTACTCTTGCTCGAGAGATTGAGATCATATTCTCTTGTCTTGCTATATTCTTTTTTTCGTCCCGGCCAGCAGGAATAACATGCACGATAACGAGTGCTCTGTTGCTTAGGAACCGTCCGATTGCTGCGAGTTTTAACGGTCTCACGGCGTGGAAAAACGTACGAAGCGCGTAGTTTTCCCCGCGCGCGCCTCCTCCAGGACGTTCCCCTAAAGCTATCCCATAAAACGAAGAAGCCATAAGTTGCAAGGAATTAACTGAGCAATTGTACTAACTTAATTGAAACTGGTTTGACTGTGAACTGAAGATTAAAAACGGCAAAAACCTGATACCCTATTCGGTCTCACTAAAGTTATGGGGGTTTGACTTCTTAAAGTTGCAGCCTGATGCGAAAAAAGACGCTCAAAAACAATCAACAACAACAACGACGCGCATTCACTTCGACTAAAGGCTTCGATCTAGTAGCTTAAAATTTCGGAAGAGTGGTTTGGTCAGCCGCAAAAATTAAGTTCGCCGACTCACTGAGAGAGCGACGGAGTACTCACCACGCGCACCTCCGATCTCGTAGGTTTATGAAGGGATTAAAAAAAGGAAACACATGCACTTTTAGATTATTACTTCTCTGTCAGGGCATCTGTTTAAAATCTGAGAGCGTATTACCTTGTGTTCCTCGTAATTTTCCCGCCAGTTGTTGAGCCTAGATAACAAGACTTTGTGTTGCGACTACTTATCCATGTTTTTTTCAGATAACATGCGCCCCCGTATTTCGTCTCGAAACATTGGCTAGTAATTAAACAAATTTCTACGCATGTTATTCCAACAATATTCGAACAAAGTACATAATCTTTCTAAGGCCAAATATACACTTGGCTCCCATGCACCGTTTCGGGCAGGGTCGAACGATTACCTTTTTCGGCCCTAGTTTCGTCTGGTGTTATTTTCAGCTTTTGCTTCAGCTGTTTAAGGGCACAATTTTAAGTTAAATCAGTTTCGTTTCAGGTTTTTAAATCTCCTTTGACGAAAAGATCACGCCATTTTGGGACAGCACAAGGCATCAGGACCGTACTTATTTTGGCATGAATTCTTAACGAGTTTGATTAATCGCATCATGGCGAGTGACAAGAGTTTAGCAAGATTAATGGACCTTTGTCATTGTGGTCGGCAACTTGGCACTCATGGCTCAAAGGTTCCGTGAGGTGTTTCAGCTTTCACATGCAAGACCGTGAAAGGGCACGTGCTCGAAATTTCAACGACTTCCAACAGACTCTAAGTGACTCAAGGTTTAGTCAAGCTACGGCTTGGTTGATCAGCTTTTCAACAAAATTTCCTGGTTCTAAGGTGTTCATTCCATTTTATTTCTTGCGTGATTAAAATATCTCTTAAATATGCATGGAAAGGATTAGTGTCGTATCGCAAAAGATGATCTTAAGCTGCAAATTAAAACAAGACGAATAACTACAATTAATCTTACGGCAGGTCATTTCTGCGATGTAGAATATTGCCTCTAGTTTCCTAGGGAACAAAAGGCTCGAAACACGGGAAATGACAGAAAACAAGAGAACCGCGCAGATTTGGAAACTTTCATCAGATGGCCGGATTGCCAACGGCAGCGTCCACACTGCTACGCCGGAGAAATTTGAGAACGCAGCTTTAATTCCAGGGTTTGGCCTACCGGCTATACTAAATCCGTCACGAAAACGGAGCTTTCCATGAGCAGGAGGACTTTGAGGACGTCGGCTTTGCATTTTTATTTGGACGGAAAACGTTTTGAAAACGATTTCCCTGGCCTTGTTTTCCTTAATCACAAATCTAAAATGACCGGTGATTGTTGCGTTTTTAGATTCCTCCACGGTTGTGTGGGCGGAAAACATTTGATGCGTTTTCAGGGTGAAACCTTCGTTTTCAAATATACTTCCAGCGTGGTGTGGACGGGGCCTATAATAATTTGGGTTCAGTATGTTTTTCTCCATGCAGGCTTCACGGCGTGCTTGCCATCGCTAGGGAGTCAAGACAGCTTTAATGGATAAAGAAGTCTTAAATAAAATACATTATGATTTCGGTATTCTTATTTACGTGCAGGTATTAACCATTACCAGAATAGGCCTAAAATGAGTTGTAATGAGTGTAGGGAAGCAGTGACGTGTGACGTAATGCCACCAAAACAAAGTACAGGACATTTCACAAATAGGTGCTGAGGGACACGGAATACATTTGCAGACCTCTCTAACATGACTAACATCGATAATCGATAAAGTTCTTCGTACGTGCCTCGACAAATAGCGTTTGAAGGATTAAGCAATAGCAATTTCCTCGAGCTACATTCACAGCTGTCGGTCATATTTCACAGTAGTGTTATTCCGTCACAATCGATTACCAAGTACATACATTTTGCATCAACGCGCATGACAATGTGGTTGACACAACGGGAGGGCTTGCATGTGTCCCACGAGGATCATCGCCCGCGTCTTTGACGATTTGGTCACAGTGTCAGGAAACGATATCGTGTTTTGGAAAAGTATATGTCCTCAAGAAAGCCACACTTGTTCATGTTGTATCAGAATGGCTGTTCACACGTGTCCGGGTTAAAGTCATTTTAGACGATGACTTGATTCCAGAAAATTAATACAATTTAAAGCAAGGAAAGAACTGTGTTGGACTGTGAATTTCTTATGGCCAGTGATGAAAAAATCCTCGACGAGTTGCATTTTCTTTCCTGGAAAATCGAGGCATTAGAAAGGAAGCTTGAAACCAGTTTGGCAATTCAAGAAGACTTGGCAGCCAATTTGCTACCAGAAGACGGCTCGTCTGCGGCATCTGTAACGGCAATCAAGAAATGTGGGAGAAGGCACGTCTCCGGTTCGAGTTGTTCAGAACCTATTTCCAGCGACGGTGAACACAACAGTTCGCGCCTTGATAGTGCGATCTCTAAAGATTCAGAACACGAGCTCGAACGCAGCACTTCTTATCTCATTATTCCCGTCGGCAGCTACAAAGACAATGACTCTTATTCATTTACAACAGAAAAACAAACTTTCATATGGTCAGAAATGGATGATAATGCGCGTAAATATATTACCTGTGAAGACGCATTTATCGGCGATAACGACGGCGCCACAGAGAATAAGATCAATGCTAATCAGCGAGATTTAAGCATTCCAAGTGTTACCAATTCGCTAAAATCGTTTGCGAATGAAGTGATACCGCTACCGAGCCAAAGCAGCTTTGGTACAAGCGAAAAGCAAATGTNTGTCAATTGTGTTTACGGGCCATCTCTTGAATATGGAAACGAACAATTTTTTCCTTTCACTGATACGTGGACAAAAGAAAACAAAACAGTAAACCGTTGACAGAAAGAAATGTTATAATCATTTCTGCTTACTTTTCTGCTAGCCATTGTATTCTTTTGTGATCTTTTATGCGATATCTAGTTTTAAAAAGTTTGAGTTAATAATTAAATTACGTATTACTTTAACAAATTAATAATTAACTCAGAAACGTCTGTGAAAAGTGGGCGGGATCGGGATTTCCAGGCAAAAAAGGGCGGGATGGCGGGATTAACAGCAAAAAATGGGCGGGAAAGCGGGATCTGAGAACCCTATTGTGAACCCTCGTTTTTTGGCTACATTTTTTTAAGAAACAGATGTGCGGGTAGTCTCAGTCAAGTTTGTTGACTAATTACCATTTAAAGCTTATCTGTAGTTCTGCCCGGTTTCACCACGGCTTTTGCATGGGAAAATTAAAGAAACTTGACTTTGTACACAAAAAAGACCTAGCTGCGGATAATGCACCCTTCCCTTGATATTAGCATTCCCTAGTGTCTACGTGATTTTGCGTCACAGCAAATATGTACGTAAAAGATGCGTCTAATTAACGCACGTCAATATAGCCAACTGTGCTTGGAAGATGTCAGTCTACGAAGGTCACGCTGGTGACGTTTACCTCACAATAATTTCTTATGTTTGTAACTGAGCTCTTTTTTTCGCTGAAACGTTTCTTGATCATTTTTTTTTATGAGATAATTTATTTTATTTTATTTATTTATTTATAAAAAACACTTAAAGTACAATAAAACATATAGAGTAAAGTAAATTCCATGCAAAAAGAAAACTACGACACTTTGAAGACTACAACAGATGTAGAAATAAATTAATGCTAAGCGCTACTGATTAGAAATTTGAAAACCATGACAACATTGACACAAAGTAAGTAAATTAATTTGTCTTAATGAGACGTTGGTGGTGGCAAAATTTCTGGAACAAAATCTTTTAATGGAAGGCATCTCCATTTCTCATTAAAGAGCTTCGTGATCGTTTTGCAGGGTATACTACAGGTGTGAAATGCAAGAAAATAAATGAATAAATAAATAAATAAATAAATAAATTGGAATGATATATATAATATTCAAATTTTGAATCAACATTTTGCAGATGTGACGTCTACTTTGTTTGGCTATAAACTATTTTAGCATTTGCAATCCTTCCTTTTCTTGTCATTTCAGACTACGCTTTCAATTTTCCAGAGAAGGGAGTGAATGACGTTGTAAAAATCTCAGGCATGCGCAGTTTGACAGATTTCACCGTGTGCCTGTGGATGCGTTCAAGTAGCGCTCAAGGAACTCTTGATAGTTACGCTGTAAGCAACAGTGATAACGAACTACTTATCGAATACGACAGATATTTCGACTTTCTCATTGGTGGCAAAGAAAGGTAAACTACATATCATATACCCTCTTCTTCCATGGCTCCACGATTAGCCAAAAACCAAATCCTGGCTGTCATTGGTTACCCGAGCGGGCAAGATAGAGATATCTTACCCGCCCATAAGATTTACACCATAAATTATATCCATAATTAACCAAGCTTGTTCAATCAAGATGGCTGGATACTGGCCACGGCCACGTCCCGGTCCATACACACGAAAACAAGAGAACTTGGCCAATTCAGTCATCTTAACAGACCAAACTTAGTTAATCAAATGCGCATATCTCCAGGCGCCCATGACTCGTCAGCTTTCACTTAATGAATTCTTTTATTTAGTTTTGGTTGATGTTGTACTGTATTATTAATATTACGATATTTAGATAATTCATATACAACCTACAAAGGACGCTCTTTCAACAGGAAATTTATCTAATTGGAAATTTTGTTAAATAAAACAAATATTCGTGATCGGGACATTAAATAACTATATGCTCTCCGTTTTTGTCCTTTCCAAGACCATTGTCGTAAACACAGTAATCAGATGGCGCAACAATGAGACGTTCAAAACATACTGAAAGACTTTTTTGTTTAAACGCTCTAGTGACAAATATTTTGTGGACGTTTGCTCACTGAAAAATAGTTTAGGCAGGCTGTCATTTCGGCCTAATGCATATCGGGGATGGAGCGGTACATATACGAGATCGAGTCCTGGTCGGGGTTATTGTCTTGGATTCTTGAATAAGACATTTCCCTCTCACAGTGTCTCTCTCCACCTTGGTGAACAAATGCTAAAAAAGAGCAAATTGAATACTGGGCTGCTGCTAGGTTCGAACGCATCCTATACATATTCTCCCAAAAAACTTTAATGCAAGATTACGTTGACGGTGATCACTTTTCATTTAAAAAAAGTTTCAAGATATATCCAAGATCGCTTCATCTTAATCCTAATGTATTTCCCTTTAATTGTACTATCACCCTTCTGCCATTCAGTTTCGGTTGAGATTTACCGTGTAGTTCGTTCCTTTTCAAGAATCAGCGTCAAAGTCTCTTATTGTTAAAAATTTTTCGGCAAGTTTAAACAAAACACGTAAATTAACTGGGGAAGAGATGTAGCAGACGTTGTGCTTCTCGGTCACACGTTGAAATACAATTGGTACATATTCAAGGTCTCAAACAACAAACAATCAGCAGGCAATGCAATGTATTTTTATATTATATTTTGCCTGCAGGAAAACTTCGGTAACAGCTTTTGATGGGGTATGGCACCACATCTGTCTTTCGAGGGAACGCAATTCGGGATCATGGAGATTCTACAAAGATGGGTACCTCATAGAGCAAGGTACAAACTTCATGAGAGGTCACATAATAATTAAGACAGGGTGGCACTTTGACGCTGGGGCAAGATCAGGACTCGGTGGGTGGTGATTTTGACGAGACTCAGTCCTTCCAAGGAATGCTAGCCAATGTCAATATATGGGATTACGTGCTTTCTAATACACCTATCGAACATATGACGTCGTGTCTCTGGGGTGAAGGGGACGCTAGAAAAGTTTACAGATGGCTTGATTTTATTCGCCAAGAAGGAGCAGCACTCATTGATCCATCTCCTTGTAAACCGTTAGGGGAAGGTAGGTAAAAATACATGTAGCAGCTCTGATGACTGGAAACTCGTCATGTTTCGCTTTCTGGTTGTGAGTTCCAACAATGCAGTCATTTATTCGGCAACATCATAGTCCCCAACCTTGAGTCAATAGATGTTTACGGGATCATATTTTTGAGATTTTTTTTTTTTTTTTTGCGGTATTTGATTGTGGCGGACGTCGAACATATTACATAAATCGTTCCCTCATAGAAGCAATATATATTTCGTTAATACAGACTACAAGTTCGAATTTCAAATGATTGTTTCATATTTGGGAACATCCCGCTTACGAATTTGCAACAAAAACAACGTTCTGGATAAAGATTATATAACCACTGTACAGATGCTGTCACTATCATACTCAGAATAAAAGGGAAAGAGAAATCATTCAGAAAGGATTTCAAAAAGCGATCCGAAGATGAAATGTTGTTGTAGGTTCTGCAAACGGAGCTATCTTAAAGGCGCCCACTCGCGATGTTTTGACTTATTTTGGCCGTGTACGAAATTACCTTTAAATCGAAGAAATCACGAAAATTATAATTTTCTAAGATGGAAAAACACCAAAAATATTTTAATAAGTCATAACGGAACGAGTAGAATTAAGGATGGAGAAGATTAACACGGACTAAAAACGACCAACCAGAAATATTTGGGCTAAACTTTCAAAATGCGCAAATCCTGAAGTACCTCCTTTAACGTTACACCTATGTGAGACGATTCTTTAGCAATAATGTATGGAGGCGCTTTAGAAAATTGTCAATCACTTGAGCAATAAATAATTTGTGTTTTACATTCAATGTCAGACAACGAAACCGCCCGGCCCGCCAAATTAAAATCCATAACTGGGATATTCAAGCAAAACGAGATATTCAAGCAAAACGAATGATTTACGAAAAAGTGATCTGTTCACTGCGAAATACACCAGAACTTTTCGCTGGTCTTTTATTTATTTGATTTTATTTTATTTTGTGCCACTGTAGACTACGCTTTCCACTTTCCAGAGAAAGGAGTCAATGACGTTGTGAAAATCTCTCACGTGCGCAGTTTGACATGCATTTACCGTGTGCCTGTGGATGAGTTCGAGTGACAATGAGGGAAGTCCATTCAGTTACGCAGTATCAAGCGAATATAACGAGCTGCTAATTTACTACGAGAGATATTTTCAACTGGTCATCGGTGGAGAAGAAAGGTTTGGTATACAGTATTGTGCAAAAGTAATGCAAAAGAAATTCGACGCAAATGAACGGAAATTCGTTTCGAACGAAACTTCAAAGAATTTCCGTCAAAAATTCGAAAGCCTATTGTTTCCACTGATGTGGAATTTCACTTGACTTCGTGAAACTTTCATAGGCTTTCCATTTTTCAGACTAAGGAGTCAATGACGTTGTTAAAATCTCGGGCATGCGCAGTTTGACAGTGTTCACTGGATGTTTCTGGATGAATTCCAGTAGCACTCAAGGGACTCCCCTTAGTTACGCTGTAAGCAACAATGACAAAAGGCTGCTTATTGAGCAACACTCAAGGAATTCCCAATACTGATAACGAGTTGATTATCGAATACAACAGATATTTTGACTTTTTTATCGGCAGCACGCTAAGGTAAAGTAAACTAGTAGTAAGTGACGTAAATATGATGCGGTATAGTTGTACAGTAATTTCTTATAACATGGGGCATTCTCCTCAAGTGCATCCAGTGATAATACCGTCCAACCCACACCCAATAAGTCTTACTTATTCCGCGTAACACAAACTGATAGCGTTCAAAAACTGATCCCCATAAACTGCACTGGTGATGATTTCAAACAGCATGCTATAAAATTAATCATGTCAATTAAATGCCTATTTTTTACTGTTTCCAAGAGAAACGCACAGATCATTAATTCTAAGAATGCGAATTTAGCTATGTAAACCGAATCCTCTCGGTGTGCTGATTCTTTGGATAGGTAATCCATTTTCGGATTTCAGCAAAGAAACACAGAATCCATTCTTGGATTCAAGAATTTATTTCCAATTTATTTCCTGATTTATTGCATCATTTTTATTTTATCAAAGGCTCACAGCGGTGACAGCCAACGATGGGGTATGGCATCACATCTGCCTTTCTTGGGAAAAAAAACTTAGGATCGTGGAAATTCTTCAAAGATGGCTTCCTAAAACAAGAAGACACAAGCTTCAAGAGAGGTCACACGATACGACAAGGTGGCACCCTGGTGCTGGGACAAGAGCAAGACTCGGTCGGTGGTGACTTTGATGCCAGTCAATCTTTCCAAGGAATGTTATCGTATGTCAACGTATGGGATCGAGTGCTTTCTTCTACACAAATCAAAGAGATGTCACAGTCTTGTCTTCCAGATGAACGGAACGAAGGGAATATATACAAATGGACCGATTTTCTACGCCAAGGAGGCTCAAAGCTCGTTGAACCATCTCCCTGTCTGCCGTTTACAAGTTTAGGTCGGTGATTGGCTTAATATATACAATAATGAAATAACAGAAAGCCGGTTGAAACATGTAACGCACGTTCCCAGCTTCTGCTTCTGGTAGAAGCTGGGAACGTGGTTTTCGCAAACTACCGGTCATACATGTATTAGAAAATGCACAGAAATGACAATTATCAGTACTTGCAATATTTTGGGTTTCGCCTCTATTTACTTCCTGAATTCCGTCCGACCTTTACGCAATAAATGTTGTACAGAAACTAAAGAAGTTCATTCAGTGTGCCTATGTGAAGTTCTCAAAGGACGGTGCGATGATAAAACAGAGAATTTCACAAATTTTATAACGTTATGCAGTCGAGGTGACACCCGAGAGTGACTCTACAACCTAGCTGTCGTCAGAGTGTAACCCACAGGTAAAGGGATCACGCTTCCCATCGTCCTATCATGGGAAGCGCTTCGATCAAGATATGTATTAAATTCCTTATCGGTGCATGCTTATTCAGTACAGTGAGTCTCAGCAATCTTTGGATCGAGTAATCGTTTTAAGGTGATTCCCTAATAAAAGAAACCGCTATAGATTTCCGATGAAAGTTGGTATGCTGTCGTTACAAGACAAGGAGATATTAAAAACGTAGTAAAAAGAGGGGGTCACCGCGCTTGTTTTCACGACACAATGCTGACAAATACGGTTACTTAGGTCACTTTTGGTAATCTCCTTGCGCAACAAATAAGCTCGATTATTTTTCCACGCAGCGAGTTATATCACACAGAGTTTGACTTTCTTTGATTGTTTATTCATCTACGTCCCATTAGCCCCTTAACCAATCTGTTTAACCGTGCGACCAATAATAATCGCAAAAGTGTTCACAGTGATACTCGAGTGTTTTGTCAAAGTAATTAATTACTAGAGCATGGCACTCTTAAAACAAGCAGGTGAGGCCTGACAGGAACGTACAGTATTATATTGGAATGTTGGTTATTATGGTGGCTTCGATTCGAACAAAAGCTTCGGTTTGAATTTTCAGAAATTTCCTCTGTCGAATGGAACAGCATTTTTTGGAATTAATTCCCGAAAAGGAGGACAACCTATACCAAGATTTTCGGAAATTTCATACTGGGAATTTTTGTTTCTTTGAAATTTTCGGTTGAATGGTGGTAAAGCTGACGTATTCTTAATTTTCACTCTTGTATGAAAAAAAATGCGAGTTAAAACGTACCCCGTAAACTAATGTATTATTTATTTCTTTGGTCAATCTAGACTACTCTTTCCACTTTCCGAACAAAGGAGTCCATGATGTTGTAAAAATATCAGGCATGCGCAGTTTGACGGCATTTACCGTGTGTATGTGGATGAGTTCGAGTGACAATGAGGGAAGTCCATTCAGTTACGCAGTATCAAGCGAATATAACGAGCTGCTTATTTATGTGACATCCCCTTTGGCTCCTTCCATTACCCTCCGTCATATGCTTTTTGGCTTCAGCTCTGATGAATTTCTTTGTGTCCCTCGTATTTTTGCATACTTACTTTTTGTGCAAATTTGTGATCTGGACTCAACGCAATGATCATCGGTTTCGGTCTGTACAACCAAGTGCTGTGAACCTTATCGCTTCCATCAAAGCACGTGTCAAGTTTTACTTACCTTTGCTTTTTAAACGTTTTCGTTCCAATCGTCGTCGCCGTTTCTTTGTGCGTCAGTGGGGTAGCAATGGCACCATTTGTACAGTGGATGGTTCTAACGTTGTCTTTTCATCCTCATGTTAGCGTCTCCTAGTCTTTTAATCCATTGCATCTCGTTCTCTTTGTCCTCTCTGTTTTTTAGTTTTTCTCCATAGTGAGGCGGGGTTCGATTCCCCGCCGAAGTTGGCGAGCTGGCCTCGTATGAGGGTGCCCCCTCACTTCGGCGGTAGTAGTATTGTTCTTTCATGCTGGTCGATAGGGTTAATGGACATTGCACCGTCCATTCTACCGCCTTAAATATAAAAAAAACGAGAGATATTTTCAGCTGTTCATCGGTGGAGAGAAAAGGTTGGGTATACAGTAGTGTGCAAAAGTAATGCAAAAGAAATTCGACGCAAATGAACGGAATTTCTTTTCGAGCGAAACCTCAAAGAATTTCCGTCAAAAATTGGAAAGCCTATTGTTTCCACTGATGTGGAATTTCACTCGGCTTCGTGAAGCGATCATACGCTTTCCATTTTTCGGAAAAAGGAGTCAATGACGTTGTCAAAATCTCAGGCATGCGCAGTTTTATGGCATTTACCGTGTGCTTGTGGATGAGTTCAAGTAACACTAAAGGAACTCTTGTTAGTTACGCTCTAAGCAACAGTGACAACGAGCTGCTTGTCGAATACGATGGAAATTTTGACTTTTTCATCGGTGGCACACAAAGGTAAAGTAAATAGCAACCACAGATGGCCCAACAATCTTTCGAGAGGCTCATCGGCAGAGCAAAGTGGTAATCTTTATTTTAAAAATTATAGTTTGGGTTCGGGTTCGGGATAATAACATTAGTTTGACTTGTACAAAGATTGTGAAATGTGTACTTTTAGTTCACGAGTGTAGGCCATGGAAAAACCTCGTTGATTTGTTAAGTGCACGACTACAAAAATTAACATTTCGAACCTTCCTGCTTACGTGCTTAAATCAGATTTTACTTATTCCATTATGGAGCAGACGTCTGAGAAACTTCCATGTCTTTCTTAGTTTCTGACCTTTTTTTGCTATAGCACAACATCAGTAACAGCTAACGATGGCGAATGGCACTACATCTGTATTTCGTGGGAACGCAGCTCGGGATCATGGAAATTCTACAAAGATGGCGATCTGGAAGAAGAAGGCGACAACTTCAAGAAAGATCACCAAGTAAGACAAGGTGGAACACTGGTGCTAGGACAAGAGCAAGACTCGGTCGGTGGTGAATTTGAGTCTTCTCAATCCTTCCGAGGAATGCTATCGCATGTGAATCTATGGGATCGTGTGCTTCCTGGTGTACAAATACAGGAGATGTCAAAATCATGTGGGCCAGATGATCAGTATGATGGAAATGTGTACAAATGGCTCGATTTTCCTCGCGAGGGAGGGCCTAAGCTGGTTGAATCACCCACATGTAAACTAGTGGAAGCGGGTATGTGATGGCTTATAGTGCTTTAGAAGAATATACACAAAGGGAAATCCTCCTTAATACTACTATGCTTCTTTTGGCAGAACTATCTAGACCTTAGAACTACGCAAATACAATGCAGGTTTTGTCTAAATTTTCTGAGTGACTTTAACACTACAACGCTGACAGTGCGTGCACACGAGTGTTCCTTTGGGATACTGGCAACAGAGAAGCTTTCCGTATTCACTTGTTCATATTCAGTGTTATTAAATATTACGTTTTGCTACATGTAAGTGCCATCTCTGGAAAAGCCTACTATTAAGCTGTATTACTCGTTGAATCCCGACCATTACACTGTGAATTTCTTTCAGAAACTAAAAAAAGTCATTCAGTGTATCCAAGTGAAGTTCGACAAAGTACTGTGCGAGATAATGGCAGATCAAATTTCAACCGCCAAATTGAATTCATTAAACGTATTTAAACTAGTTTAACAACTTCTGGTAGCGCGAGCTAGCGCGCACCATGAAATTATGACTGTTTTGATAAAAATTTACTCCACCTTCATCGCTGACATTAAGCTTCCTTGTACACTGAATAGTTCGTAGACAAGTTGTCTGAATTCTGCGTAGTAAACGGCAAGAGCTTTATCAGAGATTGCCGGCGATTCTTCGCGATAACATTTGACTTTTTGTACTCACGTTAAAACAGTCAAATGCAGCTGGTCATGCCACTGTTGATTGTTTAATAGACCAATTTCGATATATTAAAATTCAGCCTCAGTAACACAAAAGACCTCAGCGCGAGGCTCTAGAGAATAAACCCCACAAACTCTGTAGTTATTCCCCAGAGCCTCGTACTGAGGTCTATTGTTCTAGGCTGAATTTTAATATGCCGAAATTGGTCTATTCTTTCATGAATTTTCCTAATGGAGTACTTAACAAATTCAACCTGCTATGGTTTTCTGGTTAAATAGCCAGAGCTTCTGGTAATAAAAATTGTTGTTGTTGTTGTTGTTGTTGAAATATATTATTTCATCTTTTCAATAAATAAAATTTTATTGACTTTACTTTATAAATTTCCCTTTTTTAGCATCAAACAGCAAAACGTTAACCAGTGAAGGTAAAGTTGAATTTTTTCTTTGTTTTAAAGCAAACGCTAAAGAAAAGTAAAACATAATTTGACTGTTTAAAGTAAATCTGTCATTAATTGGGTGCATATGAAAATCGCAAATAGAAATTGGAAGATAACTTACAGTTGTGATAAAAAATGATATTTCTAACACCTACTATGTGGGCGATCCAACTACACTTGCATCATCTTCTTCTACATGTCTCAAAGAAATATCATGAATACATATTTCATCATGAAAACATTGCTTATTTGAACTGACCGTTAGATGAAAATGAAAGCTACGGTAATCGTACTGAAGTTGATTTGAGTTGTGACATCACTTGTGTTAGGGGATATTGGGGTCTCTGTCACGTTTGGTATTTAATAATATTTAATCCCTTAAGGAAAGAATGAGAGATGCGAATGCAGCCATAACACTACTGGAAAAATGACCTGAAAACATTTTTCAGGCTCTGAACGGGATTCGAACCCACGACCTTTGCGTTACTGGTGCAATGCTCTACCAACTGAGCTATCAAAGCCACATGAGAGCGGTCGTGTGTAAGTTCGGCCCTATATGTTCAGTGGACGTAATACTCGGCTCAAGTATATTATTGGTATTACTGGTAAATTATTTTTCACAGACATAGCAATATCTAATCATTGACGGTAACTCTGTTCGCATTAAATACACCTGTACTGTACATTGTGACAGTGTTGAATACAATTGATTACTATCTCCATAATTTGTACCAGGTCATTACAGCTATATACTCCTGCTATCTTGGCTTATTTTAAATCAAAACACTCAAACTCATAGCAACAGATTGTTTTCCAGCATGTTCACCAAAGTACAAAATATCACCTTGACCATATGGTGCCTTGATTGTTAGAATACGTAGGATCAATACTATGGTTAGGAGGCTCGAGATTTGTTTCAATTTCATTACACAGAGTAGAAAAATGGCCTCTGTGGCTGATAATGTATTTCAGCTATACAAAGAAAGATATTTGCCCAAAGACTCTCTACAACTCGACGATTTTTGATTCAGTGTTGACCGTGTAGAATGCCATATCTTTCTTATTTTTTGGACAAACTTGATACTGTCATTGTTGCTCCTTCATGCGATCAAAAATAAAAATCGTAACCATTCATAAAATAAAGTCAAGAATCTGGGATACGACAGCTGATTAATATTTAAACAACCTCGCCCAGAATAATTTTTCTGCAGTTTCTCGAAGGGGCACAAATATGGGGGCCGTAAAAGTAACAGAAAACTCTGTCATTGAGTTTTGCTACTGAAACGAACAGTTATTACTCTAGAGTTCAGACACGTTAAAATTAATACTTTTTATAACATACACATAAAAGCGACAAAACTAATGGCACAAACAGAAAAGTAACAGTTGATAATGTACTCTGTTTGAGCAAAAACATAATAAATGTAATACTCAAGATAGAGGTCACATAAATATGAAAATTACGTTTATCTTCACACTGATGAAAGCCACTTTTGCAGTCAAACATGGAATCATTGTTGTCGTTTCCTTGCAATTAGTCACGATGCACCTTATCTTTCTCAGCACCTAAAACTTTCGTAAATGTTCTTCTGTCGTCTGTAGTAACACTCTGTCCACATTTTCTGTTCATTGGTAATTCATTTGTTAACATATTCGACACATCTTTTCCTTGATTTTCTGCATCAACTTCGACATCGTGGAAAGAATGTAGAGCCTTTGTTACGTGTCTGCTGTATTGCCCATTGCACGTGACTGAGCTTTGAGGAGAAATACGAGGGTAAGCCTATAGTCGCCCGCCCGACTAATTAACAACTTTCTTTTTCTATATATTTTAAAGGCGATTGGGAATTATGGAATGGACATTACTACCACCACCGCGAAAAATCAGCAGCAAATTCATGGTTTTCAGCCGAAGATGTTTGTCGACAACATGGCGAGACTGTTCATTTGGCTTCAATTCACAGTCGGCGAGAAAACGACTTCATAAAGTCACTCTCCTCAGACGAAGGCGAACAATGGATAGGTCTCACTGATCACAACATTCGATCCAATTCTTTTAAATGGATCGATGGCTCACCATACGAAGAGTTCACACATTGGGCGGAGGGAGAACCAAACCAAGCTACAGTGGATGAAGACTGTGGAGCAATGAAAGCAGATGGAACATGGATAGACGTGGCTTGTAAAAAGCAAAGACTTGGAAGTGACACACCATTCGACAGAAGGGCTTTTACATGTAAAACATCTGGTAAGAATTTATCGTTGTCCCTTACCATCGATAACCTCATGGGCCGGGTTGTTCAAAGTCCGATAAAGCTAACCCAGAATCGCTACTTAAAATATTTTCGCATTAGCGTAGGCATTAACATTGCCCATTAAAAATACATTTCAACAACTCCACGTGTAACTTATAACTGTTATGTTTTCTTAGGAAACACAGTGTGTTATGAACCACCGCCAGCCTTACAAGAGGAAGTAAGTGTTGACTACTTCTAAAAATATATTTCAGGCTGCGGCTGATGTGTTTAACGCCTGGTCCTTTTAAAGTTCGGTTTTGCTGAAGGAACGCTAAAGAGGGTTTACACGAGAACAAACTACATATAATCAGACAAATAAAAACAGAATCTAAAATTGAGAAAAAAATGATAAGAGAAGACCAAAAACCCGAGGGGACTCCCAGAAAAGTTGGCTGGGGGTGTCCGGCCAGCTTCCCAAAACCCTTACGCTATTTATGACAAAAAAGGCTGAAAAACCATACCGTTTGGGGCCGCACATACCTATATAGCTCATACAAGGGAGTACCTCTCCTACCCGGGGCGAAAAAAAAAAAAGAACTCTCCTGAATCTATCTTTTCTGCTTTGGACATTCTTGACGTAGTGCGTGAGTTGCAGAAGATTGATCAACGTTGCGTTNCTTTCATGCTGGTCGATAGGGTTAATGGACATTGCACCGTCCATTCTACCGCCTTAAATATAAAAAAAACGAGAGATATTTTCAGCTGTTCATCGGTGGAGAGAAAAGGTTGGGTATACAGTAGTGTGCAAAAGTAATGCAAAAGAAATTCGACGCAAATGAACGGAATTTCTTTTCGAGCGAAACCTCAAAGAATTTCCGTCAAAAATTGGAAAGCCTATTGTTTCCACTCATGTGGAATTTCACTCGGCTTCGTGAAGCGATCATACGCTTTCCATTTTTCGGAAAAAGGAGTCAATGACGTTGTCAAAATCTCAGGCATGCGCAGTTTTATGGCATTTACCGTGTGCTTGTGGATGAGTTCAAGTAACACTAAAGGAACTCTTGTTAGTTACGCTCTAAGCAACAGTGACAACGAGCTGCTTGTCGAATACGATGGAAATTTTGACTTTTTCATCGGTGGCACACAAAGGTAAAGTAAATAGCAACCACAGATGGCCCAACAATCTTTCGAGAGGCTCATCGGCAGAGCAAAGTGGTAATCTTTATTTTAAAAATTATAGTTTGGGTTCGGGTTCGGGATAATAACATTAGTTTGACTTGTACAAAGATTGTGAAATGTGTACTTTTAGTTCACGAGTGTAGGCCATGGAAAAACCTCGTTGATTTGTTAAGTGCACGACTACAAAAATTAACATTTCGAACCTTCCTGCTTACGTGCTTAAATCAGATTTTACTTATTCCATTATGGAGCAGACGTCTGAGAAACTTCCATGTCTTTCTTAGTTTCTGACCTTTTTTTGCTATAGCACAACATCAGTAACAGCTAACGATGGCGAATGGCACTACATCTGTATTTCGTGGGAACGCAGCTCGGGATCATGGAAATTCTACAAAGATGGCGATCTGGAAGAAGAAGGCGACAACTTCAAGAAAGATCACCAAGTAAGACAAGGTGGAACACTGGTGCTAGGACAAGAGCAAGACTCGGTCGGTGGTGAATTTGAGTCTTCTCAATCCTTCCGAGGAATGCTATCGCATGTGAATCTATGGGATCGTGTGCTTCCTGGTGTACAAATACAGGAGATGTCAAAATCATGTGGGCCAGATGATCAGTATGATGGAAATGTGTACAAATGGCTCGATTTTCCTCGCGAGGGAGGGCCTAAGCTGGTTGAATCACCCACATGTAAACTAGTGGAAGCGGGTATGTGATGGCTTATAGTGCTTTAGAAGAATATACACAAAGGGAAATCCTCCTTAATACTACTATGCTTCTTTTGGCAGAACTATCTAGACCTTAGAACTACGCAAATACAATGCAGGTTTTGTCTAAATTTTCTGAGTGACTTTAACACTACAACGCTGACAGTGCGTGCACACGAGTGTTCCTTTGGGATACTGGCAACAGAGAAGCTTTCCGTATTCACTTGTTCATATTCAGTGTTATTAAATATTACGTTTTGCTACATGTAAGTGCCATCTCTGGAAAAGCCTACTATTAAGCTGTATTACTCGTTGAATCCCGACCATTACACTGTGAATTTCTTTCAGAAACTAAAAAAAGTCATTCAGTGTATCCAAGTGAAGTTCGACAAAGTACTGTGCGAGATAATGGCAGATCAAATTTCAACCGCCAAATTGAATTCATTAAACGTATTTAAACTAGTTTAACAACTTCTGGTAGCGCGAGCTAGCGCGCACCATGAAATTATGACTGTTTTGATAAAAATTTACTCCACCTTCATCGCTGACATTAAGCTTCCTTGTACACTGAATAGTTCGTAGACAAGTTGTCTGAATTCTGCGTAGTAAACGGCAAGAGCTTTATCAGAGATTGCCGGCGATTCTTCGCGATAACATTTGACTTTTTGTACTCACGTTAAAACAGTCAAATGCAGCTGGTCATGCCACTGTTGATTGTTTAATAGACCAATTTCGATATATTAAAATTCAGCCTCAGTAACACAAAAGACCTCAGCGCGAGGCTCTAGAGAATAAACCCCACAAACTCTGTAGTTATTCCCCAGAGCCTCGTACTGAGGTCTATTGTTCTAGGCTGAATTTTAATATGCCGAAATTGGTCTATTCTTTCATGAATTTTCCTAATGGAGTACTTAACAAATTCAACCTGCTATGGTTTTCTGGTTAAATAGCCAGAGCTTCTGGTAATAAAAATTGTTGTTGTTGTTGTTGTTGTTGAAATATATTATTTCATCTTTTCAATAAATAAAATTTTATTGACTTTACTTTATAAATTTCCCTTTTTTAGCATCAAACAGCAAAACGTTAACCAGTGAAGGTAAAGTTGAATTTTTTCTTTGTTTTAAAGCAAACGCTAAAGAAAAGTAAAACATAATTTGACTGTTTAAAGTAAATCTGTCATTAATTGGGTGCATATGAAAATCGCAAATAGAAATTGGAAGATAACTTACAGTTGTGATAAAAAATGATATTTCTAACACCTACTATGTGGGCGATCCAACTACACTTGCATCATCTTCTTCTACATGTCTCAAAGAAATATCATGAATACATATTTCATCATGAAAACATTGCTTATTTGAACTGACCGTTAGATGAAAATGAAAGCTACGGTAATCGTACTGAAGTTGATTTGAGTTGTGACATCACTTGTGTTAGGGGATATTGGGGTCTCTGTCACGTTTGGTATTTAATAATATTTAATCCCTTAAGGAAAGAATGAGAGATGCGAATGCAGCCATAACACTACTGGAAAAATGACCTGAAAACATTTTTCAGGCTCTGAACGGGATTCGAACCCACGACCTTTGCGTTACTGGTGCAATGCTCTACCAACTGAGCTATCAAAGCCACATGAGAGCGGTCGTGTGTAAGTTCGGCCCTATATGTTCAGTGGACGTAATACTCGGCTCAAGTATATTATTGGTATTACTGGTAAATTATTTTTCACAGACATAGCAATATCTAATCATTGACGGTAACTCTGTTCGCATTAAATACACCTGTACTGTACATTGTGACAGTGTTGAATACAATTGATTACTATCTCCATAATTTGTACCAGGTCATTACAGCTATATACTCCTGCTATCTTGGCTTATTTTAAATCAAAACACTCAAACTCATAGCAACAGATTGTTTTCCAGCATGTTCACCAAAGTACAAAATATCACCTTGACCATATGGTGCCTTGATTGTTAGAATACGTAGGATCAATACTATGGTTAGGAGGCTCGAGATTTGTTTCAATTTCATTACACAGAGTAGAAAAATGGCCTCTGTGGCTGATAATGTATTTCAGCTATACAAAGAAAGATATTTGCCCAAAGACTCTCTACAACTCGACGATTTTTGATTCAGTGTTGACCGTGTAGAATGCCATATCTTTCTTATTTTTTGGACAAACTTGATACTGTCATTGTTGCTCCTTCATGCGATCAAAAATAAAAATCGTAACCATTCATAAAATAAAGTCAAGAATCTGGGATACGACAGCTGATTAATATTTAAACAACCTCGCCCAGAATAATTTTTCTGCAGTTTCTCGAAGGGGCACAAATATGGGGGCCGTAAAAGTAACAGAAAACTCTGTCATTGAGTTTTGCTACTGAAACGAACAGTTATTACTCTAGAGTTCAGACACGTTAAAATTAATACTTTTTATAACATACACATAAAAGCGACAAAACTAATGGCACAAACAGAAAAGTAACAGTTGATAATGTACTCTGTTTGAGCAAAAACATAATAAATGTAATACTCAAGATAGAGGTCACATAAATATGAAAATTACGTTTATCTTCACACTGATGAAAGCCACTTTTGCAGTCAAACATGGAATCATTGTTGTCGTTTCCTTGCAATTAGTCACGATGCACCTTATCTTTCTCAGCACCTAAAACTTTCGTAAATGTTCTTCTGTCGTCTGTAGTAACACTCTGTCCACATTTTCTGTTCATTGGTAATTCATTTGTTAACATATTCGACACATCTTTTCCTTGATTTTCTGCATCAACTTCGACATCGTGGAAAGAATGTAGAGCCTTTGTTACGTGTCTGCTGTATTGCCCATTGCACGTGACTGAGCTTTGAGGAGAAATACGAGGGTAAGCCTATAGTCGCCCGCCCGACTAATTAACAACTTTCTTTTTCTATATATTTTAAAGGCGATTGGGAATTATGGAATGGACATTACTACCACCACCGCGAAAAATCAGCAGCAAATTCATGGTTTTCAGCCGAAGATGTTTGTCGACAACATGGCGAGACTGTTCATTTGGCTTCAATTCACAGTCGGCGAGAAAACGACTTCATAAAGTCACTCTCCTCAGACGAAGGCGAACAATGGATAGGTCTCACTGATCACAACATTCGATCCAATTCTTTTAAATGGATCGATGGCTCACCATACGAAGAGTTCACACATTGGGCGGAGGGAGAACCAAACCAAGCTACAGTGGATGAAGACTGTGGAGCAATGAAAGCAGATGGAACATGGATAGACGTGGCTTGTAAAAAGCAAAGACTTGGAAGTGACACACCATTCGACAGAAGGGCTTTTACATGTAAAACATCTGGTAAGAATTTATCGTTGTCCCTTACCATCGATAACCTCATGGGCCGGGTTGTTCAAAGTCCGATAAAGCTAACCCAGAATCGCTACTTAAAATATTTTCGCATTAGCGTAGGCATTAACATTGCCCATTAAAAATACATTTCAACAACTCCACGTGTAACTTATAACTGTTATGTTTTCTTAGGAAACACAGTGTGTTATGAACCACCGCCAGCCTTACAAGAGGAAGTAAGTGTTGACTACTTCTAAAAATATATTTCAGGCTGCGGCTGATGTGTTTAACGCCTGGTCCTTTTAAAGTTCGGTTTTGCTGAAGGAACGCTAAAGAGGGTTTACACGAGAACAAACTACATATAATCAGACAAATAAAAACAGAATCTAAAATTGAGAAAAAAATGATAAGAGAAGACCAAAAACCCGAGGGGACTCCCAGAAAAGTTGGCTGGGGGTGTCCGGCCAGCTTCCCAAAACCCTTACGCTATTTATGACAAAAAAGGCTGAAAAACCATACCGTTTGGGGCCGCACATACCTATATAGCTCATACAAGGGAGTACCTCTCCTACCCGGGGCGAAAAAAAAAAAAGAACTCTCCTGAATCTATCTTTTCTGCTTTGGACATTCTTGACGTAGTGCGTGAGTTGCAGAAGATTGATCAACGTTGCGTTGAGAATAAGCTTAATATTGATTGTGGTTATTCTTTGACCGGTTGTTTCGTTTCGCTTTGCGTTCTATTTCACTCCTTTTGTACTCAAATATTAAGACCGATAAAGGCAAATACACGATATTGTCAACTTTAACTAATCTATTTTATTAACAAGGTGAAAGAGGCACATGATCCTGCAATCTCTGTTGCCGATCTTACCTCGAGTGGTCAAGCCATTAAAGTTACTTTTTTACCGGTCTTCACCATATCGCTCCAAATGGCAAGTTTTCATCCACAAGTGAAAACGTTCAATACGGCGCCCACCTTAAATTCGGAGGTTATGTCGACATGGAGCCTAGACAACTTGGACCTTTGTTTTCCCAACGAAGTCGAGATCCAACGCACGAAAGCCCTGCGAGAGTAAACGATCAAGACAACGATGTTAGCGGAGTAGCTGATCTAGATGGAATTGTCGATAAAATTGAAATTCCTCATTACGAAGCAATGAACTCAATGGGTTCAGAGGCTTCACGTGGCTTTTCAATCGAGTTCTGGATAAGGCCACGGCGTATGCCTGTCGATTAAACACCGATGGCTTTGTTTCACAAGTCATCCATCAGTTTAGACCTCAACTTAGATGGCTCTCTCACGTTCTCTTTGATTATTAATAGGGAGAGTAAGTTATCTTGCAGCACGGACGTAGTAGCAGACGATACTCATAGAGTTAGAGTTTTAGCATTTCACCACATAGCGGTGACCGGAACAGTTGGAAGATCACTAACGATAATGGTGAATGGAGAATCTGCCGGTCGAAAAACTACATGGGGAGGTATTACAACCCCTCTGCCTAGCACAACTGAGGAAACACTGGTGTTTGGGGAAAACGAACTTCATCAGTCAAAAAAACGAAAGAGATTTAATGGCCAAATAAGTAACATTCAACTCTTCAATACAGAAAGAACAAAGCAACAAATCGATAGAAGCATTCAGGATCCAGATCCAACGGCTACTGGAAGTATTGGCTTCTGGTCCCTAAGACAGTCAGAAGAGATTGATGTGGTTCATTACGTCATTTCAAAAACACAATCTGTATCCGATATAAAGGTTCTGGAGGATTATGCACCTCCATTGACTGGCTTTCCATTGGAGGTAATCGTTCAAGGACAGACGATCTACATAATTCGTTTGACGGGAGAAGGTCATGTCGTAGCAAAACGTTTTTCTGTCAGTGCCGATAAAAGTAAACTTGTCTCCACTCCTGGGAATCAACAAATTATAGAATCAAGCCAAGCGCAGAAGGGCTGTCTAGGAGCTACGCGAGACCAAGACCGTAATCGATTGATCCTAATAGAGTGCTTCGCAGAAGAATAATCCTCTGGAGCTCTGCGCTTCAGATGGAATCTTTTTGACATTGATGGACAAGGAAAAATAACACCTAAAAATGGGGGTACAGGGTCTTTACTTGTGACCGGCATTGGCAGTCTTGACACGCGGCTTTCTGCCAAGATTGTCAACGACCACCTGTTACTTACGGCCGGCACAACTTCAAGTGCTTCCATTTTCTTCCTTGACTTAACACTTGATTCTAACGGTTTACCCTCGATTTCAATCAACAAGTTGGCGGTGCAAGCTCTTGGCCCTGACGTTACGAATAATGGTGCTACGTATTACGCATATCTGAAAAAGGAGAGTAGCGCCCCCTCACAGCCGTTTTTACGACGACTCCGTCCCCTAAATGGTCAGGTGTCCAAAAGCTACATTATCAACGTAAGAGAAGCTAACCCTAACAATCTCGTGGCAAATCCAATCAGCAGTAATATGCCCGACAACGACTGGTTTTGGTTCTTATTTAAAATCAGTACATTTAATGGTGGAGTTGCCATCCAGAGTGGCGAGAGAATTACCATTCCAACCCCATATAGCCATCCCGATAACGAATAAGGTTGGAGTTACGTGAAACTCAGTTGCAAAACACTTCAAGCCGACCAACAAGCTGAGGAATTCAACTTCTGGATATTTAAAACAGAGTCATGTGATCCGAAAAATGGTGGCTATTCAGTTGTGTCTGGCGAAATTGAACCGAACGACTGCATTTTACTTTGGCCAAAAACAGAGCAGTTTGAACCTGGTCACTACAAACAAATTCTTGCTCTTCCAACAGAAAGAGAAATTGAAAGTGCCAAAGTAAGGTTTGGATCCTGGTTTGGCCCCTGGCGTCTAACAATTCCCAACGAACCTACACCGGAGCGTCCGATACCAGTGCCAGCTGGCTCACCTCCAAATTCACCAAGAAATGTTTATCAAGCCAACAAATACTCTCTTCTTCATTTTCATAGAAAGGTCATGGTTGACACACCTTCACCAGGATCAGGGGTAAGAGGAGGTCTACTTCGGTTTGCAAAAACGACCGTAACACCAGTCATAGTCTCCAACAACCAAAGCCCAGCTTTAGTTAAACTTATTTTCAGAGGTAACGGTGGAGCTTTTCCTCTTGCAGCATTTTCACATGATAGAAATGCCAAGCTTGAAGCTCTTTTCAGCAATGTTTATCAGGAGGGAAGCTACGCTCAACAAACTATGACTACAGGCTTGTTTTACAGCGTTGAATACAAGTCGCCATCAGACACATCATCTCCTGGAGAGTTTCAAAAACTTGCACGAATTGGTGGTCTGAAAAGTTTGGAATATCCAGAACCTCCAGCGTCATTCGTTTGGCTAATTCCACCTCCTTTTAAAGTCACTGGGATGTGCGCAGCAATATCGACTCTTTTCCAGTTTAATGACGATACAGTAAATAATGTAGCTCCTAACTCCGTCGAATCCCTGACCGAGGTAATAAATAAAGCTTTTGGCCCTGGAAGCTTTGGAGAGGGATTGTTTAAGCCATTTCTGTCCGTACATATGGATATAACTTTACTGAAAGAGATTGGTGAGCGAGTAAAC